TCTTTCTTTCTTTCTTTCTTTCTTTCTTTCTTCTTCTTTCTTTTCTTTTCTTTTCTTTTCTTTTCTTTTTCTTTTTTTGTATTTAGGACAGGGTGTATAGGGTCTACAGGGCTTCACTATTAGATCTGACTCATAGTGATCATCCTGTTTACAGCCTTCCAAGTGCTGGGTTTACAGGCACATGTCACCATGCCCAGTCTCAATCACCATCTCAGTGCACCCCGGGAGTGGGGTTGGCACGGAAGGCCTGGGATGGAACTCTCGGACCCTGTGTCTGCCTAAGCAGGCACCTTAATCTGCTGAGTTATTTGGCTGGCCCTGGTACTGATTTTCAAAGTGCACTGAAACCATTAAAGTCAGTGGTTCCCAGCATGGGCTACATAATGAGATTACCTGAAAAAGTTTACGAAACAGGATGCCTGTGTTTCACTCTAAAGATTTTAATTGGTATGGGGTGCTTCAAGACTTTTCTTAAAGTTTATCACACAATTCCAGTGTGCAAGAAAGGTTGAGAAACATCACATTAGGTGGGAGATTGATGGGAAACTTCATCAGAAGGAAGTGGAGGAAGGGGAGCTGGCTTATCTGACAATGCCCCGACCCACTGACCAGTCCTAATAAGAAAAAGGCCGACATCAGACACCATGCAACTCTGATGTGAGACATGAGGAAGGACTCATACCCGGAAAGTTGCCTGTGAAATCATCTGGGCTGAATCTGGTCAGGCTTTAGAGTATAGGAATGGGCTAAGAGGCATCTGCGACCCTCTGCCAGCACGGCATTCTCTTACCATTAATTTATGATCATCAGATCATATTATGGCCTTTTCTCCATTTTTCTGCTATATTTTTCTCTGTTTTCCCCAAGTTTATCCTTTATTAATTTCCTACTTTAAACACATAGGGGAAAAGAGCAAAATCATGGCTTGCTCCTTGGTAATGTTTTAGTGTTTCCAGGAACCCAGAAGCAGCTCACTTCAGCTCTGTCCTCCCCCATCTTTTTTTTTTTTTTTTTTTTTTTTTTTTTTGCGGAACCAGGGATTGAACTCAGGCCCTTGTGCTTGCCAGTGAAGCGTATTCCACTGAGCCATCTCCCCAGTGTCCTCCCCCATCTTTCCAGGGTTCATGCCACACTCCTCAGCTCGTTGACTGGAGAATATCAATTTTGTCAACAGTATTTCTTGAACTACTACTTCATTCAGCAACAGAAAACTAAAACATCCAGACCCCCCAAAAGAACAGAAAAGTACTCCATGCCTGTCAACACCTACATGGACAAACTATTTCTAGAAAGATACTTAGTAAAAGAGGCTACTTGGGTGGAGTACTGAGGAAGAAACTGTGCTTTACACCCTGTACCAGGCTTTCTTCACCGGTGCACGGCTAGGCCATTTCTGTTGTTGCTGTTGTAGGAAACTGTCTTGTGCACTCAGGGGTGTTGCTCAGTGTCCTTAGTCTCTATCTTCTAAAAACGTGTGTACACATTGCCAATTGTCCTCTGAGGTGGCAAAGACCCCCTGGTGGGGCCATGACACTATTTGATTTGATTTTTTTTAAGTAAAGAAGTGATAGAGAGACAAATATGATAAACCAGTAACTAGCAGGGTGGATCTAACCCTGTGTTTGGCCCTTAGAACATTTTTTCAAAAACTACTTTAGTGAGCTATGGTATCAGACTTAAAATGAGCCATTTCTATGTTCTCTTGAAAAAATCAAATAACCTTGTAATTCTGGCTCTCATTCCCAGATGGCCCAGTTTGGGGTTACTGAGCAGCAGCTGCCCTCTTGAGGGAGGAAATGACATATTCAGCTCCCCTACCCCCACCTTACCCTCTTCACAGCCAGCATAGGTCAGCAGATGCCTTTTTGAAGGACATGCTACTGTCAACCATCCACAAATGATGGGATTTCAGATCACATCACAATGATGTTCTTCCTATCTGGTCATTACCTGCCATTGGGTCTGCACTTGGAGACAACACAAAAATCAGTGGTGCACAACAACTGGAATCATTGTAGGATCCTTGGAGATCGAATGTGGGGGCTTCAATGTATACATTCCCCATGAAGTCAGCAATGAAGTCCCTAATGGCTGGGATCATCTTGTCAGGCCGCAAACACCGGAGAATCACCAACCTGTCCAACCCTTCAAGCAACTTCCAAGGTTCAGGGAAGGTCTCTTCATGGGGCCAGGTTGAGTCATAGATCAGCTTCCATTCATTAGTGTTTTGTTCCAAATGTTCCTTCAGACCTTTCAGCTTTGGCAATGAGGATGCGCGTACAACTTCTGCCCATGCCTTCTTGGACAACCATTCAGGAGCTGGGTTGGGGTAAGGGTTGTCCAGGGCAATGCCTCCAGTTAGAAGGAAGAACCAAACTTCCTCACTAATTAGCCTTTTCTCTTTCAAGATGCCAATGGTTAGGAGGAGGGAGAAGAGCAGTTTGTCCTTCTCAAACAGAGAGCGGCACACATTGTTGTAGATGCTCAGGGTGAAGTGTTCGATGATGTATTCGATCCGCAGATCCAGTTCCTCACTCTTGGTGCTGTTCGCTAGGGAGAGCACATAGAGGTTAATGAACCACGTCAGGGAGTACTGGTACATGGGCTCGATGTTGGCTAGGTCAGAGATGCAGAAGAAGATGGTGGCAGAGTGAACAGCCACTGGCTTGTACCCCATCCGAGTCTCATCGATCTCCATTTCTGTCTTGGAGGCGATTTCCTGCTTTTCTGAGATTTCTTCAGATAGTACCTTGGAGGAGGACAAAATTTTAATGGCTGTTTCATCCTCTAGAATGTTGCCTTGAGACAGGGAGAGGACCTCCAAGATCTTATCTTCAATTTCCTTTAGCTGCTTCTTGTTCTCGGCACTTTCTACAATCAACTGGTTCTTTTTCTCTTCCAGTTCTGGCTTCTCCTTGGCAGCCACAATGCCAAGGAGTTGATCTTGGAGCCCCAAGGGGGTGATCATGAAATTGAGGAGACAGACTTTCACAGCAACTTCTGGGAGGTAATGTGGATTCCTTAGACGAGTGGTGATGTAAAACTTGAAGTCTTTGGAGTATTCGATGATACTTTCACCCAACCTCATGTATTCAACCCCTTGTTGCTTGAATGTTGTTTTGAGTAATATAGGTTCAATAAAAGCATCCAGCTCTTCTCCAATGTTTTCCAGTAAGACAGGGGTACCAAACTGCAGGGCATTTTCCAGCGTCCTTACATAGTTGGCATCAGAGAATTTGATGACAGACAGTTTATTCATTTTCTCCATATTCTTGACCCATTTATTAGCTTGTCCCTGAGGGTCAATCATTAAGGGCCAGCGCCTGGAATTGGACACAATGATGCCATTATCTATGGAGAAGGAGTCAATGGGAAGCCCAGCAATCTGCCAGGCACGGATTTTTACAGGATCCCCCAGGGTGTTGCTGAGGCTAAAGTCACTGGAGCCTGGGATGACCTTGTCCTTACAGTTTGCCAACCATTCCTTTTGGCATTGAGCCCTGTAATCTACTGTGAAGGCTCCCAAATAAGCCACAGTCCCTGAGGACACCAGCACATCCCCTGTTAGGTTAATATAACGGATTCCCAGCTGACGGGCAGCTTCTGTCCATCTGTCCTTCTCTCCACCAAGACCACTGATCAACTTCTCTGCCCGGACCAGCTTTTGGGAGCAGATTTCAATGTTTTCTTCCAGTGTCTTTTTCTTGACATTCATGTCTTCAAACTCATCATTCAGGGCCTGCAGACGGTCTTCTACCAGCTTCAGCTCTGCTCGTTTCTGGTTCAGTTTCTGCATCTGTGCAGCCAGCTTCCCCTCAGCTTCCTTCAGCCGCTCCCGTTTAGGGGCCACCACTTTGGCCACGCGGTCGTATACCTCCATGGCCCTCACCCACTTGCACAGACCCTCACAGGCAGATGACACATTTTTAATGACAACTGGCTGGAATTCTGGGTGATCGATAAACCTTTCTCGGATCCGCTTCATGACCAGTGGGGGAATATTGTCTTTGTCATACGTCTTAAGGCTCTCCAAGAACTTCAGATCTCCAAGAATCTTTTTTGACACTCCCCAGTAATCTTCTATCATTTTACCTGTTCAGCATAAGAAACAGAGATAGGATGTATTGTGCATACACAGACTGATGTATTTATCAAGTTCTGCAATGGCTACTGCTTGGATTTGAGGAAAGAAACCCAACCTCTTTACCATGCTCTGGGAGGCCTGGCTGACCTCATCTACCTCATTTCTGCTTTTTTCCCCTGACTTGTATGCCAAAGGACCTTCCTTCAATTTCTGCAGCATCCCAAGTGCTTCCCACTATGAGCTCTTTGCCCATGTTGCAAGTTCCTTCTAACTGGCTCTTGAGCAGACTTCACGTCTCACTTTAAAAGCTGCTTTATGGAGCAAGTTCTCTGGAATTCTCTTTCAAGGAGGGCCCCTACTCCTCAAGCATTTTCTTTGTCCACTAATAGGTCTGCTCTTTGATAGCACTTATTGTAATCACCATTTTTTTTTTTACCTTCTACTCTACATATACAAAAGCTGTGAACACCTGCTATGTTTTCTAAAATATGGTACAGTGTCTGATACCTAGTCATCAGCAGATATGGTCTGACTATTGCTCTATGAGCCTGTTCATACATGAGAGGGGAACAGGAACTATTGCCTTGGGCTTGTGTCTGGAATATTCTTCCCAAGTCAGGGAGCAGGTCGGAGGCACACCATTCATTCTACCACATGAGGAACAGTGGAAGTGAGGGGTGGCCCTGGGAAGTGGCTTGTGGACTCGCAACTGGACAGGACACTGTGCCCGCTCTGTTCTTAGCACTCACGAGCTAATCAAGTGAGTTTCAACCACATCCAGAATCAGTGCTCCTTTTGTAGACATGCTGGAAAAAATTTGAGCCTTTCTGGCTCCTGATACTGCCAGCCTCAGGCTCACTAAAGAAGTACTTTGAGACATTGTATGGAGTACAGTGTGTTCCAATTGTCAGTCCAAACATAGCAACTGCCAAACATTTCCATGAAGGGTCTTGTTTGCTCTCTGGAAAGTAACCTGTTTCATGTAAATTTCAAGCATCTAACCCTAATTCAAGGTCTGGGGATACAGCTCAGTGGCGCAGGCACCTGCCTGACAAGCATCAGGTCCTGAGTTTGATTCTTAGTACCAAAAATAACTAACTAACTAAATAAATAAATAAAATAAAACTGATTCAATCATTGCTCATGTGTTCCACTTTGAGTTTGATGAATAATACACATGATTTGCTTAAATTTTAAAAAATGATAGATTCCGATTTGATTTGAAACTGTCTCATTGCTTTCTGTTTATCAATAAAATTTTGGAAAAAAATAAATAAAAATAAAATAAAATCATGCTAAAAAAGTGATAGATTGTGTGTTGATTACCAGTGATCTAATATTAGAAGCAATATTCAAGATCTGGCCTGGCAGGCCTCAAACATGGCTGTACCTTAGAATTACTCAGGGAGCTTTAAAAAAATACTAGCACTACATTGTACCTTAGACCAATAAAATAATTATCTCTAGAGGTGTGGCTCGGACTTCAGTACTCCTTCCACACCGCAGGTGACTCTAGGGTGCAGGAGTACGTGAGCTCATCCTTACTCAGGTGACTTGGGTGCCTCAGCAATTTCCCTTAAGGACCTTGCTGTAAAGTTCACGCCCAGCTTGGCTATTCCTGATCTGCTCTGCATCTTTTTAAAGTGGCTGTTGGCCAGAAATGAGCTAGACAAGAGGGAATGCCAAAGGGACACAGAAGTCAGAGGATCCCAGGTAAAGGACCAAGGATTTCTAGCATTTCAGAATGACTGAAGGGCTAGCAGCACTTTTCCCAGGATAGGATAATTCAAGAACAGGAAATACTATTGTAGGCTGTTTTTAAGGTTTTTGTTCAGATCTAAGACATGGGTTTCAACACAAGGTCCTACCATGAATTGGAACTCTAAGGATAATTAATATTCACCTATTAAGCCTCTAGTGTAATTGTGTAAGGAGATTTATCCCCTTCTATGCCCTTTCCCACTTTTTCTTTCTCCTGTTCCCTGCCCCTCTCCCTCTATGCTTTCTTCTTCTCTATCTGCAGTTTTGTTCTCAGTCTCCTTTTGTCCTATCTCCCTCTACATCTTCTTTCTGGCTCTTGTTACTTCTCCATCCCAATCCATTCTTCCCTCTTGTGTTCTCTGATAGTCTCTCTCTTTGTTTCTTTTCCTGTCATCTTCATTCTTGTTTTCTTTCCTTCTCCCTTTCTGTCTCTGTGACTGCACATGCCTCTTCCTCTTCTCTGCCTCTGCCTCTTCCCTCCACCTCTCTCTTCTCTCCACATCTCATGTGTGTCTCTTTCTCTCCACCTCCCTCTTTCCATTTCCCTAACTCTTCATCCTTCCCAATTTCTTGCCTTTGTGTTCTCTCTCTGTTCATTATCTTTTGTGTATATGCGTGTGCCTGATCTGTGTATGTGCACACACACTCACATGCATGTGTCCAAGTGTCTGGATGGCTCTACATTTCTCTCTCCCTCTGTATCTCTGTCTCTCTCTCTGTCTCTGTCTTTGTCTGTCTGTCTATCTGTCCATCCCTCCCTCCCTCCTGTCTCTTTTTTTCTCTATCTGACTGTGTCTGTCTGTCTGTCTGTCTGCCTGCCTGCCTGTCTGCCTGTCTGTCTGTCTGTCTGCCTGTCTGTCTGTCTCTTTCTCTCTCCATCTCTCCCACTCATTTTCTTTCTCTCACACCTACCCACAACCTGACTGTGTGTGTTTACTCCACATCAAGACTTTGGTATACATCATCTTCACTTTGAAATGACTTTCCAGCTGCGACCTGGACTGAGCTCTGCTCTGCCCACAGATTCCTGTGCTGTGAGGTGAGGAAGCACTGGAGGTACCTCTGGCTGCTCATGCTCATCCAGGTACCTTTCTAAATTCACCCAAAAGTCACCAGTCCTGATTGAGGGCCTAGGCAGGTTGGTAGTTGCAGTTGGGATGGGTGATGGTACCCTTCCTGCCAGGTGTGTAGGACAGGGTGAGGAGTTACCGGAGCCACTGGGATCTGGTTTCCTCTCTGGTCTCTGCCCCTTCATGACACAGATGCTCTCCATGACCAGCTTGACTGGGCCAGGGGGGTTTTGCATTGATTTCACCAGCGAGATGTCAGCAGGGTTCAGGGTGTCGAGTGCAACGAGTGCAGCCTCCAGCGCTGGCATGGCCTCGGCCAGGTCCCCCTCACATTCATTCTGCAGACCACAGGGACAAAGGTGATGAGCAACTAGGCCTCAGCACAATGCGATAAGGCTGGGCGCAGCTCCTAGAGGAAGTGTGAGGAGACGCTATGTATCCAGGAGCTTTTGGAGGATGGGGCCTCCCCAGAGCCAGTTCTGGACTTAGGGTAGCTGTGACCCTGGACAGCACCAGGGTTGCGTGTATGTCTCGGGGCTGAGCTTTCTGTGTAGAGCCACTGAGCCTTGCTTGTTATCTTTTTTTTTTTAAACAGAGTACAAATTAGAATTAAAGTAGAAAAATTTACTTGTGATACAGAATTTCACTTAACAAAGTAATATGAATTTCACAGTATTAATTGTAATACATAGTGTTGTCTTCCAACCAGTTATTCATATCACTAGATGTATACATGTAAAATTGGAAGAGGAAAGAAATGTTTAAGAATTTTAGAAGAGAAAAAGTACAAACAATTGAAAAAAAAAGGAGACGAAACAAATTAAAGCATTAACTGTTTCTTTCTATGGATCAGCAGAAATGCACAGGATAGTTGTTCAAACCATCATGCTTACATGCATAGATAAATCTCTTTTCCCCACTGTCTTTCCTGTCCTTCTCCCTCACTCAGTAACTCCTTCCTTTTGCATTAGTTCATTCCCTTTTCCCAGTATCTGTTGTACCCTTTCGATTCCATTTTTCTCTTTCAGGTTTTCACACTAAGGTGACAATACAATGTTTGCACATGCGGGTCTGATTTATTTCACTTAAGAGTATGTTCTCTAGTCACATCCATTTACCGACAAAAGACTCACATTCATCCCATTTTATAGCTGAATAATACTCCATTGTGTAAAAATACCACATCTTCTTCATCCATTCTTCAGTTGATGGGCATCTGGGTTGTTTCCAGGATTCAGCTATGACAAATTGCACTGCTATAAACATGGGTACACATATATCTCTATGGTATGAGGTTTTCAGTTCTTCTGGAAAAATACCCAGGAGGGGAATAGCTGGTTTATGGAATTTCCAATCTTTGTTTTTGAAGGAATCTCCACACTGATTTCCATAGTGGTTGTACCAGTCTGCACTCCCACCAACAGTGCAGAATGGTTCCTTTTTCTCCACAGCCTCTCCAGCATTTGTTATTGGGTGACTTCTTGATGTTAGCCATTCTTTCTAGGGCGAGATGAAATTTCAGTGTTGTTTTAATTTTCATTTCTCAAATGATCAATAATTGTTGAACATTTTTCATATATTTACTTGCCATTTGTATTGCTTTCTCACCTCAGATGCCCATTTTTGGATTGGGATTTTGAATTTAAGGAGATTGATTTTTAAAAATTCTTTGTATGTTCTAGATAGAAGGTCTTTGTCAGAGGGAGAGTCAGCTATAATTTTTCCCCCTGTTTGTGAGTTTTCTTTTTTTTCTGCTGGACATTTGTTTTGAAGTGGAGAAACTTTTCAAAAAGATGAGATGCCAATTGTTGATTCTTTGAAGTATTTCCCATGCAGTTTAGTTTTTGTTCCTGAACTCTCTACCTACCCCAATATCTTTAAGATTTCTACCTTTATTTTTCCTGCAGAAGATTTAATGTTTCTGTTTTAATATTTAAATATTTGGTCTATTTCGACTGTAGCTTTGTGCATGGTGACAGGCATGGATTTAGTTTTAGCATTTGGCATATGGAAAGCCAGTTGTTCCAGCACAATTTATTAAAAAGGCTATCTTTCTTCCATTGAGCCTGTTTGGCCCATTTATCAATGATAATGTGGTTGAGTGTGTTTGCAGTTGTGTGTTCATCTTCTAATCTGTTCTGTTGATCCTCAGGCAGGTCTGTCTCTATGCCAGTACCATAATGATTTGATCACAGTAGATTTATAGTATAATTCCAGTCAGGGATTGTGGTACCCCTGCCTTTCCTTTGTTTCCCAGGATTGCTTTTGATATTCTGGGTCTCTTCTTGTTCCAAATGAATTTGAGGAAAGTTTTCTCTAGCTCTGTGAGGTATACTAATGGTATTTTAAGTGGGATTGCATTGAATCTACATAACAATTTTGGGAGTATGGCCATTTTCATAATGTTGATTCTTTGTATCCTGGAGCATGCAATATTTTTTCATTTTTCTCAAATTCTCTTTGGTCTCTTTTCTCAGAGTACTGTATAAGTATAGTATTATTTTCACTGTATAAATCTTTTACATCTTTTGTGAGATTGATTCCTAAGTATTTCATTTTTTGGTGTTATTGTGAAAGGCATGGTTTCCCTCATTTCTCTCTCAGTGTGTTCATTCTTTGTATACAAAAATGGTATTGATTTTTGGGCGTTGCCTTTGTATTGTGCTATGTTGCTGAATTTGGTGATTAAATCTACAAGACTCTTGGTGTTGTTTTGGGGGTCATCTATGTAGAGTATCATGTCATCTGCAAATAATGATAATTTGACTTCTTTTCCAATCCTTATTCCTTTTATTTCTCTCTCTTGTTTAATTGCTCTGGCTAATGTTTCCAGAACTATGTTGAATAGGAATGGAAACAGTGGACATCCTTGTCTTTTTCCTGATTTTAAAGTGAAGGCCTTCAGTTTTTGCCCATTTAGTATGATGGTGGCTGTTGGTTTCTCTTGCCTGTGATGTCAGAAAAAAACTCCCCTTCACAAACAAAATCTTACTTGAATTTCAAATTGAACATGTCTGCAATGCTTATTGATTTTGTTATTTTGTAATGGTCACTATTGTGCTATATGGAATTAAAGCCTTTATAACTAAACTGGACTTCTCTATCTCTAATATCGCCAATAAATTCTACAATTCTGTCTCTGAAAAAAAATTAAGATGCAGTTTAAATTCCCAAGGGAGATGAGGTGGATGGCTTCCCAGCCATTGATCATAGGGTTGCTGAGAGAGGACTAAAGGACAAGCCTTAGGATCGAGTGACAAGCGGGAAGAGAAAAGGGCAGGCTGAGGGAAGTAGTAAGGTTGGAGCTGGGCAAGGGTCTCAACATACTGAACGCCTACTGAGATGGGGGAAGGTGGGAGAACCAGGGGCAGGGTGAAACTTGGGGATGTGGCAAAGCTTCAGGCAAGATAAGGGCAGGATGGGGGTAAAGATTAGAACTGAGTAAGAAATGGAGACAGGGCGAAGCTCCAGAGAAGTGATATGGTGTGTGTTCATCCAGTATTTTCTGATCTAAATACAAAATTAATACAACTAACCAAAAATTAAAAATTGAACTAGTGATGCTTGCTACAGCAAGGATGAGCCTTATAAAATTCAAGCTAAGTGAAAGAAACAGTCACCATTTGTGTCCTGCTATACATTTATGTGAAATGTGCAGAACACGAAACCCATACCGTGGAAAGGAAGTCAGTTGTTGCCTAGGGGCTGGGAAAGAAGTGTCAGGGAGTGCTTACTTGTGTATAGGGTTTTGGGAGGTGTGCTGAAAATGTTCTAGAACTAGATAGTGACATGGTTGCACAAATTTGTCAATATCATGCAGCCAATAAATTACACAGTTTAAAATGATGACTATCGGGCTGGTGAAATGGCTCAGTGGTCTAAAGCACCTACTTAGAACAAGCTTAGCAAAGCACAAGGACCGCGGTTCAATCCCCCAGCACCACATGCCAGCCAGCCCTGCCCCCTGGTGGGCTTAGCTGGCCACACACACACACACACACACACACACAAATAAATAAATAAAATTTTTTTAAAAAATAAAAAAATAAAATGATGACTATTAAAGGTATATGGATTATATCACAATTTTTAAAAAAGAAAGTTTATCATTGTTTTGGTTTGTGTCTAGTTGTCCCTCCAAAGCCTCATGCAGTCATGAGGCAGACTTCTAGAGTTTGTGATTAACTCATGATCCACTGGGATTATGGGTGTGAGTTCTGCTGGGATTATGGGTGTGAGTGCTGTTGGGATTATAGATGGGAGTGCTGCACCCAGCCTGGGACAGACAGCTGAATGCAGCATAAGGGAGACAGACTCGCTCTCTGTAGTCATTCCTGCTGCTGCTCCTCCCTCTGCCCTCTGCTCTCTGCCGAGCCATGAAAGGTCACTCTCTGCCATGTTGCTCTGCCTTGGAGCCCGCTGAATATGGACTGAAACCTCCAGTAACTGTGAGCTAAATAACCCTTCCCTTCATTTTGAGTGTCGGGTATTTGTTCCAGCGACAAGAGAAGAGTAACTGAGACAATCATGATAGGATTTTAGGACTGAAGGGGTCTTATGGATTAGTTGGTAGCCCAGTTACACACACACACACACACACACACACACACACACACACAGAGTCTCAGGATGTAAGATGCATTAGCCAAGGTCATCACCTGGTTAATCAAAGAACAAGGCTCCTCACTGATTGCTCTATTAGTTCTCTGAGTCTAAGGAGTGATACCACAGCTATGATTGAAGTGAAACTTCACTAGAATGTCTGCTCTTAGATAACTTAAACCAGCATGTGTTGAAGTACTTATATGCTATAGGTTTACTGTAGTAAGCAAAGAAAGAGTTGCTCCACCTTCTTCCGTATGTGTGTGAATGCTTGTATAGGTGTAAGTGCGTGTATCAGAGATTTATTTTGAATTTCCTACTTTTCTCACAAATGTATAGCAACATCTCATTCCGCTTCATCGTATTAACTTCTCCCTGTCATAAGCTACATCAGAGGTCCCCGTAAAAATGCTATGCCTGCTTCTGCCCCCACCCCGACGTGGGTTCCAGCTGCTCTGGCGGCGGGGGAAGGGCCGCGGTCAGGAGCTGCGAAGCTCCGCGAGTCCCCGCGCGCCGCCAAGACGCCCGGGACGGAGGTCAGCGCGGCCGAAGGGGCGCGAAGCAGGAGCCCGAGAGGAGATCGGCGGCGCTGTCGGCTAAGCCTGTTCCCGCTGAAGTGGAAACGAAGCCAAAAAGGGCAGCGGGAAAGGATAAATCTTCGGACAAAAAAGTGTAAGCAAAAGGGTTTAAAAAGGAGCCAAGAGAAAACAGGCTGAAGCGGCTGATCAAGAACCCA